AATAAAATAAGCTAATATGTGAAAGGAATCATGGAAAACCTTTATAAGAATCTCGTATGGAAACAGGTTACACATAAAATAATTAGCACAGACAAGTAGGAGGTTCGCTTGATAAAAACTTAAATTTCCTTGCACTATGTGGCTGGCTACTTACCTTGCCCGCTATTTAGAGTTCGAAATATTAATTATAAATATGGAAATTGTTTACCATTAAAAACAATCTCGCTTGCATTAGCTAGGCCACTGAAGGGGTCACAGAATATCAGTGTTGGGAGATTAGTTCCTACGTACACTACCTATCTAAGTGGCTTCCTTATCGGATATAAATCGGCAATACATTTTGTGTGTTTAATTAAAATATAAAGTGAATTTCTATTTATTCCCCCCTGTTATATTTATTTCTTAGATTAAGTTTTAATTGTAAATTTTGTGTTTCTGTATAAATGAATTTCTATATTAGGTATATTTCATTTTTAAAAGCTTAAATATTTTTCACATGTTATTGCGTATGGTGACATTTAGGGTTGCCCAAATTCAGTCTTGGTCTTGCAGTCTTGGTCTTGTTCTTGCGTTTTTGCAAGACCAAGACCAAGAACAAGACCGCGTATTTTTAGCAAGACCAAGACCAAGACTGACCGTGCAAGACTTGAGCAAGAACAAGACATAGCCTGCAAGACTCTTGCGTCTTGCAGCCAGGACTTAGCGCTATTTCACTGAGTAGTTAGGTGTAACAGTTCGGTGTATAGGTAGGTACGCTTAGGAATTCTATGAGACGCAAAAAACTGTATCAAAGAATATGAAAAACTGGACCTATGCGCATTACGACTAATACCATAAACATAGCGAATAAAAAAATTATTAAAATCAAACTGAGTGCACTTTGATAATGCGGCATCAAAGGTTTTGTACTTACTTCTCAAAGAAATTTGCCGCTTTTCGGAAGTACATGGTTATGATACACGCGCCGGCGGCTTCTTTTGAAATCTAAAACAATCGTTGCCGCCACGCCGAAATCATAACATTTGACACTATTTGATTGAAGTTGAGGGTTCAATCTCTTTTTAGACAGATAAGTATTGTTCTTTAAAATACAGTCAAGTTATTGTAATTAATTTGTTTTTTTACATGTTTTAGCAAATGTAAGCTTATAAATCATAAATGTTTATTAAGAAACAGTTACTTCCATGGAAAACGACATATAGGTCAGTTGATTTTTCGAATTTCTTATCAAATCTTCAGTTATTTATTAATCTGCTTGATCTTTACTATGGCTATATTCATTCAAGCTCATAATATTCCAATTCTAATACGTTTTTCTAGGATTTAAAGTAAACTTTAATAAATAGTAATAGACTAATAGGTAATTGCAAGACTTGCAAGACTCTTGCTGCAAGACCAAGACCAAGACCAAGACTGGGAGCGCAAGACCAAGACCAAGACCAAGACCAGGTGTATTGGCGCAAGACCAAGACCAAGACTGGCTAAGTCTCGTCTTGTTCTTGCGTTTGGGCAACACTAGTGACATTATATAAATTAATATGTGCATCAATAGGTAGAAAAAAATCGACGATGACGTGTAGGGCACGGAAGCTTAATTGGTCAGAGCAATAGCACGGAAGGCTGTGGATGTCGGTTCAAGTCCTGATAGTGTCGTGATTTTTTTCGAATTTTAATTTATATTCTATGTTTTCTATTAAATTCGTAAAGACCCGATGAGAATTGAATCCACATCCTGTTATGGACCAGGGAATCTCTGAAAATATTATTACCCAAGCTTTGACAGACTGGTGCATAATATGGTAGCATTTGAACGTACGTCAAGAATGCAAATCCAGCCTCGCAGTTATTAAAATAAAATTGCAGCTTGAAATCAAAATAGCTAAAACCTTGCTTCGCCCAGCTTGAATTCGCGCCTGTGCGGATTGTGTTTATGTATAATGCATCGCTCGAAGCTACTCGTTTGATTATTTATTTAAAGCAGACGCTTTATTTACAGCGCTGCAAAGCGGCCACATTTAAGGAAAATAATAAAGTTTGTTTTACGCTATAAAGTATGTCAAATGCCGTATGTCAAAGTATTTGATATATTTAAAGTGTAACTAGTTCTTGCCGCATTTATTTTGTTAGTTGTCACTGAAAATCAGTGTTCATAACGTTATGCTGAATTGCTCATGTTTTTGAAGTTGCAAATGTTAACTAGTATTATATTTATATAATTTGTCTAAGTAAAGTTATTAGGATAATTTAGTTTATAGTTTGTTTGTGGTTATATATAAATGGTCTCATTATTATTATATTGGAGCGTTTTAGGTGTTTAAAAGAAAATGTTGTATATATGTTTTAGTAGTAGTATGACAGTTTAAATGGTTAATCGTGGCTTCATAGAAGCTAGTAATTTCTTTCAATATACTAGAAGCCATTTTAGTTGAAATAATAGGATTATAATACCAGCATTGCGATAAACACGAAACATCAGGTATCAATAAATTACTCTAGTTGAGTAGAACACAGAAGCCTTCGTTTACGAGCCGGTAAAATGGGGGCGGGGAGGGGGGAAATTACATTATTTCACTATTTTAATCGATAGTTAAGATAAAATTATAGCACACCTAAGGCGCTAGAATATACATAGTTAAAGCATGTATATGTTATCAAACCAAACAGTTTGAAGCGGTGCCAAATATTGCCGGCTTATTCGACTCTATATTTACCAAAAAAATCCTTGACCTCTTGACAAATCCTATTTCGAAGTAGCGAAATCCGGTTTCCCCAACATGGAAATTGTTCAGAGAAAAAGATAGATAGAGATGTTTGAGTGTGAAAATTTTATTTTCTATGTTTCTTGACGGGGTCGTAAATGTTAGCAATGCACGGCGAATAATCAACGGATCCCCGCCAAGTCCAACATACTTTTAATCAATTTATATTTTCTTTAATAGTTGTCGGACTTCGTCTGAAAATCTGGTGGTAGGAATATCGAAATTCGTCCGGGTCACGAACCAGATGAAAAAGCTTGTGAAGTTTAATAGCGTTTCACTTTCAGTCTGTAAATTTCCCAATATACAAAGCTATGCTAAATTGACAGCACATCTTGTTTAGACGTTAAATGGCTGTAGTAGGTACTTTACCTTTCATCAAGTAAATTCCATGCTTGTCTGAATATTAAAAAGAATCAGTTAAACAGATGATCAGGGTGTGCCATTAATCAAGTTATTATCTTTCCCCGGGATTCAAACTCAGGAATTTTGCGCTGGACTTAACGCTACGTTTATCAAAGTAACAAAGGTTTCTCCTATTAAAAAATCTAAAATAAATACGCACTAAATCAGACGTAAATGCTATTTTATACATACATGCGGCCCAGGTAATCAAAAATGCACATCGGCACGCTTGATAAAATCCCTTAATATTTCATTAACGCTGGAATAATGCAACCGACTCGTAATTATGTCAAAGGTTATTCGTAACATAATACGCGTTCCATTAAAATTCGTTCGCTAATTGGTACTGAAATTTACAGAAGCATGAAACCCGTGAACGCCTGTGACCCTATAATTTATTCATTTTGTCATTTGCCCAGTGACAAAGTGGCTTAAACCACTTTCCAAACTATCAACCTGGGCGTCGATACGTCTTCATTTTGACCTACTTCAGCGCTTCAACTTTATCAAAATGGAAGCGCACCCACGCTAGTAAGAAGTATGGCAACGGTTTTATAAAACGTTACGTAAAGTATCATTCCAGTTCAAGTTCATGGCAACATTACGATTTGGTATAATTGCAGTTCACGCGAGTAGTACACATTAGATAAAAGCATTTTTAACCGTTTAAAATGCGAAATATATTCATTAGTTTATTCTTTTGTAATTGGAGGCGTGACTGCGGCTGCTGTAAGTGCAAAGCATAATTCGACTCGACTCGTAAAGATTTGACTTTTTAAACTTATCTATGTATTTTGCGTTTTTAAATTGTTAACAGTAAGTATCTCTACTATATACTGTCTGTAGTTAAATAAATAAGTTTAATCCATTGACTGAAATCGAAACGCAATTAAACTTGACGATTTTTTTATCTGTCACCGGTGGCTCGTGACCCGTACGAATCCTAGATTTCCAGATAGACTTCAAAATGTTTCAAAAAACTTATAAATTGATTGGAAAACTGTTGGACCCGGTGTCAGGTAAGTTGAAAATCAATGAGACAGACGGGATCAGAACCCAAAACGACCACAATCCAAATTCTCAACTAAGTAACAGCACGGAACGTTGTGGTCGGAGTTGTCGTTTGTAGGCTAAACCAAATTTTAGTTTTATTCGTCGCTATATATATGTGTATATTTGCGATAATCAATAATAATGATTGTGAAAAACGTGTAGTAAAATTTTAATAAGAAAAGTACGAACAATGTTTTATAATTAAAAGTTAGTCCTGTATAAGTCTGAAAAAGTAGTCATCCTTAAATGTAGGCGGATGTAATTGACCCACTTTTGACGTGCCAAAATGGTTGAGACATTTAATGGGAACAGAGAATGGTTCAAACTAAGAACACGGTACGTTTACAAAATGAGGGTAGTAATGAGTTCGTCATTTATCTGTTTTCGTTTCATTTTCGAGTCTGTTTGTGTTGAATTTCGTGTTATCATCGACAATGAAGATGATGAAGAGAAAATTGTCTTTATACACTTGCCTATGATAATATTTGAACGAAGAAGTATCGTGTGTTTATTAAGTAACTTAATCTAGTTAAAATTCGATACAATAGTGTGCCTATACTAGTTATTTCTAGAGTTCGTGTAAGAATATAGTCTGGCCGCTTAGTTTCTGAAAGTTCGTGACCGAATTGGCGATATAATTTCGAATTATGTGTTAGTAAATGGCAACACTATAAAAATATTGCAATTTTAAATAATTTTTTATTAAATAAATGTGTTATTTACGGTACAGTCATGTGGAATTGACAGGTTCCTAGAAAATTAAAAATTAAAAAAAAAATGTAGTCTTCACTTACTTGTAGCGCTTACTTCAGGCCCGAGAGACTCGAACGCTTTCCCGAAACTCAATTTTAGGAGACGATCGGAATCTGAAACAAAAAGTTTAGTTTAGCGCCATCTAGTGGTAAAAATTTGTACACGATGTAGCAAAATTGCACTAAGAGAAAAGTTACTACTGTATTTTGTACCGTGCTTATAAGAGTACTGCAATTTATTAAGAGATGGCGCTGCTATAAATTTTAATACGTTTAGAATGTTATGTATTTATGTTATGTACCAATGAGGTAGTTATATGGTTAAAAACATATTTTTTATTAATAGATTGGTAATTCAGTTTGGTATGTATTAGGTTTAGAAAATATTGTCACGTACGAAGTCCATCCATCCTTAAATATTATAAAAAGCACTATGAGAATAACTCTTCTCAGACTTTATTGTTTTATCATATTAGATTTTATCATATAAGACAGGATATATACCTTTGTTGCGGTCCTTTACAACAAATTAAGAGTCCAACTATAAACGTAAACAAACCGCCTCATTTCCGAAAGCCTCGTAATAAAAGAAAGGGTATTCCTTCGGAAACAAGGACGTTAAACTCACGTTCTGTATTTCGGGACACGATCGTTTTGTGTACTTAGGCCTGAAGCGTGTCGGTTCTCGCTACACTTGTTACAAGCCGGCGGCTATTAACAGTTCCTCCCAAATAAGCACTGCCGAAAGCCATCTGGCCTTACGCCAAAACTTCCATTCATACCTTGTTCGCTGCATGCGATTTAGTTGTGTATTGCATTCATTTGCTAGTCCTTTTCAATGCCCTCGCTTAAAAGGTTCGTGGAAGCTTAATTAAGGATCCTTTGATTTTGAGAATCATTTAATTATTTTATGGTCATGTAAGCATCAGGTATATAGACATTATAGTTTATAGTAAATTTATGAGTAGTAAAGCGTTCCGTGCTCTTTCCGTAACCAATTGAGCTAGCCTGTCCTACAGGTCATCGTCGATTTTTTTTAATCTTATTGATACATGCACCTCTCGTGAAATGTAATTTCAACATTATTATGTTGTAAGGATACACATTAAATGTAGATAAAGTGAAATTCAGTTTTCCTCTGTGAGGTATGGTGTATATTTTAAAATAAAACCCTATAACGATTTAAAACGCGACATATAGTAGTAAAACTTATTCAAAAATCTTTTCTCGTGACCACGATTGTTCGTGCTCTTGAAACTTCGGGACTGTATTAAAATAATTTGTAAATAAGTTTGGCTAATATATTTGGCGTTTTAAACCGTCAAAATGTTCATATTTGCCTGATATACAGATTGTGTTTATTTTTATTTAGAAACCCACTTCCATTTATCTATTTATACTTAGCTGATTTAAGGACATAAAATTGTTAGATATAATAACTGGAATTTGATAAATTGTAAACGATAGATTTAGGCACCATAAAAAATAGGTAAAGAATAAACCTGCTGCAGTAGAGTCGGGTGGCGGCTGAAAGTGGTAAGTAGCAGCAAAGCCTTGGCCTGGCGATACTGAATTGGCTGTGAATTGAAGCAGCAAAGACGGACCCGTAGACAACACCTCATATCCTGAAAGTTTTGGAAATAAATAAAAATGTACTTATACAGTAACTGCACGTTGTAAATTAAAATCAATATTAAAATGTTGACGACACGGAAGCACTGTAGGTGCCAGTTCTAGTCCTGCCCGAGTCGCAATTTTTTTCAATTTGTTATCGATTTTTAATTTTTATGCCATCATGTGCAATAACATGTGAAAAATATTAAAGTTTTAAAAAGAACCTAAACATTAATTAACATAGATCTATTAAATGACTTTTAAGCAGGTATGTATTTAAATACTGTCTATGGTTTACGCGAGTAGTACACATTTAAATAAAACACTTTAACGGTTTAAAACGCGACATATTAGTTAAACTTATTTGGAAATGATTTTTAACTTCGGCCCGACGTTTCGGATGCTTTGCAGCGGCCGTGGTCACGGGGAGACTCTCTGTGACCACGGCTTTTGTTTTATTTAAAAGGTATGTGTTTAATCTTGATAATGCGTGGTTAGGTTCATGCTAAAAATAAAAAAAATCGTAAATAGCAAATACAAGATTATTTTGTTTTAACTTAAATGAAAAAACAACAAATAGATTTCATATAAATTTTCGCGATAGGAGAGAAAAAATGTTATAACTTCGGTTGAAATATTCGGTTAAAATCTAGTGTAATGGTTCTAGGTTTATAGTTTATAGAGCTAAACGACAGGTAGTGCATCACTTAAACAAAGGCAATTGTCTAGCGACAAAATATAGTGGTCGCGCAACAAGAACAATGGAAGCGTGGCTGAAATAAAAACTATGAGTTACGAGATAGAATGGCAAATAACGTTAAGTTGTATACCCAACTCAATTCGCTTGTAAAACTTGCATAGGAAACATCTAAACTCATTATAGTCGAATGCGTTGAATTTTAATTTTACAAGAAAAACGATACTTTACCCCAAGACGAGTCGTTACTTGAAAAATCAATAGAGATTAAAAAAATATTTTAAAATTTTCATATTTTTCACATGTCCAGCCGGTGTCGTATTTTTGTAATACCTTATATAGATGTTTAATTTATGAAATAAATAAAAAAATACTAGTTGCAGAATTTTAAACCTAACATAGCAAGGCAACGGAGCTATTGGGTTATTAGGTTATATGGGGATATTTAAAAGTTCTTCTACAACTATACGATTAAACATTTGTTTCCAAAGGTAGACAAAAGAAACAAAACGTGGCATTTAAGAAGATTCGATAAGCAAACGTTCTAATTTTAAAAGCAATTCCTTTCATTTTACTTGGTTGTGAAGGAAACGTCTTTGCCATCATCACGTCTACGAAAAATGAATTTACTCTAGACTAAATAAGATTTGACTGACTTGTGTTGTTCTCGACGTATACACTTCAATTCGTGAGTAGTGTTCAAAAAGTGATTCTGGAACTTCTTAGGTGTATTCGTACAATGGATATCTGATCACAATACACTGTCAATAGTACCCTTTAAAACCACATAAGTTGCCAGGAAAGATATCGCTTTACGTGAGTAAGCGAGCTATTGACAGTTAACGATATGGTTGAAGATCGTATTGTGGATGTATTTTCATAATATATAAACATTCTTCTCAAGTGTGAGTATAACTCACAAGCCTCTTTCTAAATTTGAGAAGAGAATGTGATAAAGTGGAAATTAAAAAAAACAGCTCTTTTGATGTAAAGGATTTTTATGATAAAGGGGATAGACAAACATGAGGTTACATGTCGAAGATAAACTGTTTTTCGCAATAATAATCATAGGTACGTTAAACAAGCTATTTAAATATAAAGTAAGCTTCAATATAGCATAAAAGGTGTAACGAAAATAAAATATTTTCACATAGTAAAGCCGATTTCGAAAATAAGGCAACAAAAATTACTCGAAGGATTACTCTTCGTAGCGCTAATAAGTAATAGTTAACCTGTCACTTTCCTTAACTCTCACTCAATGTTTATTACAAGCTTTCGTTGCGTGTAGCTTAGAAGAGATAATTTCAAAGTTGTTTTACATTTCATAAAATATAGAATATTTTATCTTGTAGTTTTTATACGCTGTACACGTACTTTTGTACTGTATTTATTTAAAATCATAAATACATTTCAAGGCCGGCATATATAAGAAAGTTTCCTCTCTTTTGAAATAACCAAGAACCACTAGATGTTGGCAGGAGTAATTTAATATTGTAATATTATATAATACTATTAACGGTTGGAGTAAATTTATTATTATTCTTTTTGAATAAATAATTTCGCCTACACGTCGTTCGTTTACAATGTAATTGGTACTCGTATAAATTCCTATTAAGCGTTACACAGTTGTCAATTAAGTACTCTTATTTGAATAGCGCTTAGCAGTATAATGAGGTTCCTTTCAGTAGCTCACCTGTAATCTCGTTACACAGCATAGCTATTGTTGGGGCGTTCGTATCTCGTCCGTCGAACACTTTGATGATATCCGCCCGCCGTAAGCAACTGTAAACATTTGCATTTTTAAATTTAGAACTGGGAATAATGATGTATATTTTACGTTGCAAAAGTTTTTCAGGCCATGTAAGATTACTAGTTTCTAGAATTTTAATTACTGTGTTGATATTGACGTTGGTTCCAATAATTGGAAGAAATTTCATTTGAATATTTTACCCTGTACTGTTATAGAAAGATCATTAATTTTGGAATTTCATTTTGGAGATTTTGGAAACATAGTTTTCTTAAAATATAAGTGATAATTTACATAAAACGACCCAAGGTTTCGGATGCAGCAAAAAGGCTCTGTAACGACGGGCCGTAGTTAAAAATAAATTTCAAACAAGTCAAAAATTTTCAATAAGTTCTAGTGTTTTATTTAAATGCGTACTACTCGCGTAAGCTACAGACAGTATATAAGTGATCACTTTAAACTTAGACCTAACGATTATATTATTAACGTGTTACCTAGCATAGCCTTAAGTTAGAGATGTCAATAGATTGTTTGGTCGGGCAGGGCACAGAAGTCTGATCTACTACTTTTATATTCGAAACAAATCAGTAAACTGGACGTGTGTTCACCCCATATCCTACTTAAATTTTCCTAAGTTAATACTTAAAGTAAGATAAGTATTACAATTTCTAACTCATGTTAAAGTATTATATGAATATAAACATTGTTTTAGATAAAATACATAATGCAACAATGCACTGGTTGTAGGTTCGAATTGTTTTTCTATATTGTGTATAAACTACATAAGTATCCATTTAAATAAAACTCTTTAACGGTTTAAAACGCGATATATTAGTTAAGCTTACGTTTCGGGTGCTTTGCAGCAGCCGTGGTCACGGTGAGACCTCTCCCCGTGGTCTCCCCACGTCGGGCCGAAGTTAAAAATCATTTTCAAATAAGTTTAACTAATATGTCGCGTTTTAAACCGTTAAAGTGTTTTATTTAAATGTGTACTACTCGCGTAAACTATAGACAGTATCTACGTAAGTATCGTTATCGCTTAACGAAATGTTAGGCAATTAGTTTATGGCAGACGGGATGTAACTTTTAACTGAAGTGGACTTCATATAACGATTTTCATAAATACTTTAAAGCATCCACTTTAACCGATAAATCTAATTTTGAACCGGAAGAGTCTGAGGTAGCGGTATTAAGTTCGTTAGTGTCGTCTTTTAAGTTACGAGATGGATGGGCTCTTACATCCGAGTAACCACTTGAGATTTACATTCTCACATTTAAGTAATTAAGTTACTTAAATGTGAGAACTTACTGTTAAGTTTTAGAAAGTGATGAGTTTGCTAAATGATTTTCTTAATATTTTGGTCGTATGTGAAAATAAAAGCTATTTTTGTATATGTCATTTTTATAATAATTATTTCTAATATTATAAAGCTGAAGAGTTTCTGTGTTTAAGCGTGCATATCTCTAGAACTATTGTTTCGAATGATATATATCAAGTAATGCTTTAGGCTAGAATATAACATCTCGCAACCAGTAGAAGGGAGTTTTAAAACGGAGGAGATTATTCATCATTACATCCGGTGGGAATCGAACTTACGAACTGTTGATTTTATTCGCCCCACATTGCTATAGTTACGCGCCTTTCAACATGTGATACATATGTTAGACTCCATAGAAATCTAACCTACGACCAGACGATTAACACCTGCACATAACACTAATGAGTTAGTCGGAATGTTCATAATGAGTAGGTTATGCGAGTAGAACAAGTGTTGAAAAAAATTTAACGGTTTAAAACGCGAAATATATTAGTTTAATTATCTTTAAATTGTTTTAACCGTGACCACGGATGCTTTGGAGAAGACTAGAGACACACATTCGGGGTTCATTAAATGGAAGATGAACTTCCACAGTCGGGTTAACAAGATACACTGTGGACCTTTTTTGGCTTTAGATATCTGAAAAATGTTTATACTGATAGTGCATATCAGTAAATAATCTAATTTAAAACTCCCTGTATGAGATAATTGATATACTTGTTGCAATTAATTCGGATCATGTTGTATCGAGTACACACACAAATTGCCTATGTATATCAAACGATATTAAGCAACCATTGCAGACTCGACAGAGCGAAATAATATAATTCAATTCAACATCCGTGATATGTCAATTTCGCTGGTTTGTACGACAGTGGACGTATCATCATATTAGCTACTAGCTGAGTCAGCGACTTCGTCCGCGTAAAATAGTTATTTTGGGATTCCAAAATTGTTTTTGCAAACTGTTACCTATGTAACCGGTCGCGACCCGTCGTTCTTGCGAGATAGTTTTAAGAGATAGACATATACTGATGCGAAAATTGTTTTTGTAATTTAAAGAAGAATCTTATACATATATTTAGTCTATCTTGAACCACTACAAAGAATAATAATTTTCCCCGTTTTTTTTTCTTCTTTTTGTTGTATTAGTCACAAGGCGATGTTTTATAGCCTCCAACCTTCCTCAATATATGCTCTAACCAACACAAAAAGTATTTTTCAATAAGAAACGCGAGATAAGCGCGATGAAACATACAAACTCTTCAGCTTTATATATTAGTATAGATAATATAATAAAATTAGTATCGTTTGCTATTTACGCGATTAGCACACATTTAAATAAAACACTTTCAACTGTTAAAAACTTTCAGTCATGGTCACGGGGGGGGACAATTGCATGTGAAGTCTAAATAAATAAGTTTAAATCGTATGTGAAACAACTGCTTGGAAAAGATTGTTATGACGTTAATCAATATTAAAACGATAAAAATGTGTGGGGTTGCCGCTCTAACAAAAAAAAATATGTAGCGCTCCTAAAGTAGTGGAGTGTAAAGTGAAACTTAGCAATAAAAAGGGCAACGGCGAGTTTCTCGCCAGCTCTTCTCATACGACCTTGATTTGAGAAATGGTAGTAGCTGTAAAGTTGGATTGTTTAGTTTTGTGACGTTCATAGGCGTACCTGGTTACCAACATGAATATATATATATGAATAATATATGATTTTTGATTTGATGATCAAGACATCCAGAAAGTCGGGACGTAGTAAAAATAAAATAATTAAAATGATGTAATCACTTGCGTTATAAACCGTTAATAATATTTTATTTAAATTAGCGTTGTCTGGAAATTGGGTTGTCCATCAAATTACGTAACTAACCATCAGCTGGGCTGGGGGCAGTGAGCGATGTGGTGTGCGGTGTGACCTATCTACCGTGATATATCGGCTGCTACATTCAATTGTACGTTGATGTCATGATACATTACATATTGCATCCTCCACGGGCCGGTTCGAGAGATTTATGTTTAAGACCCTTAATCAGAATGACATGAGAACAAAATTCGGCCCCTGTCTCACGAACGCTGAAAACGCGACGTTGCGCGGCATTATTCTTCTGTTTCCTATATTAGCCGTCTGGGGTTTAAATTCCGAACCGAGAATTGGTGACTAGGAATTGCAAACCAAGATTTGGGGGTTACAAAATTGGGCCCGAAGATTGACAGCCTCTAAAATGCGCTAGTTAATCAATTGGTGGAACAAGATGGTATAGAAGAAAAGGTGATAATAAGATACCTTATAAGTATTGTCTGTAATAGATTATATGTAATACACTTTTTCCTTTTGTTTATTACTTTCAATAGAACTATAGTACGTTTCAGATGCTTTGTGACAGTCGCGGTAACGGGGGAATTGAAGATATCCCTATAACTGTCGAAGTCAAACATCATCAATTATGCATCAGTTTCTTAACATCGGGACGTAGTTACATTAAATTAAACCAATATGTTTCGCGTTTCAAATCGTTACAGGTGTTTTATTTAAATGTGTCCTACACGCGTAAACGTTAGTTAATTACCAAATTACCATCCGATATAGCAGAATCTTTGCGACTGTGACCACGACTGCTTGAAAATTTTTTTCTATGTTATTATAAACAGACATTCTAGAACATTAAATGTATACTAATATATAAAGCTTTTACGCTTATCTCAGGAATCACTGGTTCAAATTGAAAAATATTGTATAGATTAAAAATCGAAAATATTTTTTTATCTATATAATGCTATCATGTAAGAAATATAAAAATTTTCAATATAATTTTCTGTTAGTTAGAGCATTTATCGAGGAAGACCTTAGGCTATAAAACATTACGATGCGACCAATAGGCGCTAAGACAAAGTGGGAAACATAGGAAAACAACCGGGAAAATATATTTATTAAGGGTTTTTGCTGCTCGCGCTGCGTACCCAAAATACGTTTGAAAGAGTGATTCCATTTAAATAAAACACTTTAACGGTTTAAAACGCGATATATTAGTTAAACTTATTTAAAAATGATTTTTAACTTCGGCCCGACGTTTCGGATGCTTTGCAGCAGCCGTGGTCACGGTGGAGAGTGATTCCACTTTAAATTATTTAAAATGTCCGCAGCACTATATGCCTATCTCGGAGGTCTAAGATGAGGAAGAGGTTTGAAACAACACATTTAAATGTAAAAAACAACTATTGTACGCGGACAAAGTCGCTGCCACAGCTAGTATATATAAATTTTCCCTTAACAGTGAACAATTCCGAGCATTCACAACATTACGAACTAGACTATCCCTCCTAGTTTAAATTTAATTACGGCAATTCCCTATAGTGTTGTTGAGAGCTACTCTAACTCTAGTATTGAGTTTAACTTATTCGTCTCAATTAACTCCGTTGGACAGACAAGACGAGTTTGTGGACATTGTTTTGTAGGAACTTCGATCCGCTTCGTATTGCTTCACTAGGGTTATTCTATTTTCCGATACAAAATAAAATTGTCGGTCCGTCTTCCTAGAATCATGCCTCCCACACTATAAGTAAAAAATCTATAATATGATTTTAAATTAATGATATTTCACATATTTATATTGTCTCTCATGTCGTTATATTACTAGTTGACCTGGCAAACGTTTTTCTGCCATATTATGTACAGCCAGTATTTACATAATAGTTTCGCCAAATACCAACATCGACGAAACAGATGGCGCTAACGCTAAAGCAGTCTTTTACTTTGACGTCAGAGACATCTTTAGTCTCCCTGTGACCACGGCTGCAGCAAAGCTTCCGAAACTTCGGGCCGTAGTTGAAAATATTTTTTAAACAAGTTTGACTAAAAAATATCACGCTTTAAACCGTTAAACTGTTTTATTTAAACCATATTATGTGTTTCGACTAGATTAAACGGTTCTTGTGAGTTAATCTTAAAACATATGATGTCACGGGAACATTTAAAGCGAAATCATTTAAAAATATGTATTCTTTGGTTTCAAAAATCGTTGTCGCAGCGCACGCAACGGCATTCCCTTAAAGTTGAATAATTTGTTTACACATTTCGCAGTGTTTCTTTGCTTGTATGTATTGTTACAGCCTGATGTATTATAGCCTAAAGCCTTCCATGAAATGGACCAACCAACGTATTTTTTAAAATTTAACCAGTAGTTTTTGGGACACGCGCATTTAAACAAACTCTTCAGCTTTATAATATTAGTAAAGATTTCCCCGTTACAGTCCAATTAATAGTCCGGGCTTTTAATTAAATTTTGCACCAAACGTATCGGCAGTAACAAAATAAATTTCATCCATTGGTGTCCATTGTTCTTGGCAAAAATTGAAATTTACCGATCTATACAAACAACGCCAGGTGAATTCATGCATAATGTACTTAATTAAACGACACAGTATCGAGTCTCATTACTGTAGCGGCTCATATTAATAATTCAGTTATCCCAAATGTACTCGAAACTGATTCGCGGTTTAAGTAACTTTATTAAGAACTTTAAATGAATTCGACATTATGTATGCATTGTAGTATCCTACATACTACAATGCATACATAAATAATTACTATGTAAGTATACCGTGACGAGTTTTATGTGAATTCTTGGACGGATATATTTCTGTGTCCATTACACAGTTGATTAGTCCTCAGCGTCATATCTGACAAAATCTCCGATGTTTCCTTCTTTTACTGATAATCACATATATATGTATAAAAATCTAGCGTTATCATGGTACTAAGAAACGCCTGGACCGATTTTTATGAAAATGCACATTCAGTAGCTCGGAGAATCGGTTAATGTCTGTTTTTGATATTCTCAGACTTAAATTGATAAGGGTTATCTGAACTCTAACTTTTTTTTAAATTTTCAGCTAATAAAATAACATACAACAATATACAAACTTGTATTAGTGAAAACTCCCTAAGCTTCACTGTTCTACACTTCCTGTTACTAAATTGTTTATTTTTGTTAGCTGTTAAGTTTTCCAAATATTATAAAAATAAAAAATATATTTTTCCGTATGTACGGTGGTATGTACATGGTAAGTAACCACCCTCCCCGGCGTCTATCGGTGTCACTTCTCGCTTAGAAAACAGCAAACTAAATTTTCCTACAGAAATAATTTGTATGGCAAAAACACGGGTCAGCTAGTTTTTCTATAATTATCAGACTACATAATAAATTTAAGTCTTACAAAATTTACCCGCCAACACCTTCATTTCATCCAAATAAGCTAAGTGAAAAGGGTTACTAAAAGCTCGAATATTTACACCACAAACATAATACAGAAAAACCGACTCTCACCTTACGTCTCCTTTTTGCAAGTAAATTTCTTCAAAGACTACTTTGACGCGGTCTTTCGGTCTGAAAATGAGAAAAATGACTTTTACATCTTAATTTAAAGGTGAATGGGACGTGTTATCAAGATTCTCTAAATATTCTTTATATTTTTTGTAGTGAAAACTTTAATTGCAAAATTGTAAATAAGAATTTTTCGATATATTTTCAGAGCTAGATTTTTAATTTAATAAATTAGCTACTGTGCGTCAAAAGTGAGGTTCTTGTATTAGAAATAATTTTTAAATTCGTGGTTTATTACAAGATTATTTAGATGTATAGACACATAATATGACATGGTAGCTCAGTTGGTTAGAGCGGAACGTTGTAGATGTCGCTTTTGTGGGACTTTAAAAAATGTATTTTGTAAAAATATTAAGAAATTTGCCAAAAATTATTACTACGATATTTTCTCCTCTTCTTCAAGAAACGAACTGATTAATCTCATGATTATTTGCTGAATTGCTTTCCGCATTTTCTTGAAAGAGGATAAGTTATCGATCTATTTATTGTGTGTATATTATTGTTCACATACCTGGCATGAAAATGATAGGAACATCGCACATTATTGGGGTATGTGGACGGGTATCTCGGGCTGTAAAACCGGCCATGGCTGGGACGGTTCCCGGATCTACTGAACTGGTAGTCACATTCTGTCCCGGGCAGGCGTACACCCTCTGTTTCGAATAGACCTGGAAAATTTTGATTTACCATTTATTAAAGCTTGTAACGACAACAGTTGAGTTGTTAACGAAGACTGTAGTCGTGAGTTCGAGACCCGCTCGTTTTTCAATTTTAAATATTTTTTTAATTTATGTACATTAGTTGTCTGTTTACTTAATAACTACATAATATATATTTTAAGAACAAGAAAAGAAACCTTGAAATGTTAAGAAAATTGTCATTTAATTTAAAACCCTGAACTTAATGTTGTATTTTAAAATTTACCACGTTGATGTATAATATCGAATAAATCTTTACAGGCAGTTGATCAAACTTCTGTGCCCTGCCTGATAAAAAACCCTTTATTGCTTTCCCGGGATTAGTACCCAGGACCTCTCTTAATGCAACACGTTTAATTATGTGCCTGAGAGAAAGGTGGAAACGATATTAGAAATATTTCCATTTATTATTAAACTTTAACAAAAATTTAAATTGTTTGTTATTAAGCAGACTTCGTATTCTTTGATAAGTTTAAATATGTTTTAAACTAAAAAATAAATGAACTTCATACGTCATCACAGGTTTGCTGTAAACAAAGATAGATGAAAATAAAACCCTGAATCATTGTTTTTATCTCCATTGTTGGTCCGGTTATATTAATCTTTAGTGTAAATTATGGGTTGCCGGTTTCTGGGTTAATTGCCAGGGATGTGTTGCTGGACTAACTTCAGATAAACATACCCTTGTACAGGTATGTGGGTAATATTATTCTGTTATGATTGTGCCTCGAGATAAGTGTGGGTAGATAGACCCTTAGCTTGAGAAGAATAGATTTAACACAGTTCGGGCAAATTGACCCGACACTGATACCGAAGCTTAATTGGTAGTAAGTACAAAAACAGTCTCACGTTGTTATTTATTTTTTAGAAACATTTGAAAAATTTGTGATTGAATAAAGGTTTCCTTGGTAATATTAATAGTAGGTCATAGGCCAGCTTAGTTGTCGCTGTTTAACGGTCTTTTACAGAGACATAAGTTAGTGTCAGATGTATAAATCAATTTTAAAAGGATAAAAAATAACGACTACTTAAACCGGCATCGATAGTTTTCCGTGCTGTTGCTCTTCTCAATAAGCTAAGAGCGACAGACCGGAACGCAGTGGATGTCGGTTACTTATTTATCGTGAAATTATTTTGTTTAAGAACAGACAAGCATGGGATTTATATAGGTAAAATATAACATCAAAAAAAGATCTGCAGTTGACCCTTTTTTTCCACGACTTTTTCTACTGCGGACGGTAGTTCGAGACCCGGATGGAATTTCGATAAAATACCATCCATTTAACATCCACATTACCAAAAGTCCAACATATTTCAGAAAAATTAGAAATTGATGTTGGACCCGATGGGGATCGAATCTATTATAAGCGATAGCATAGCACATTGCTACCATTACCAACGAGTCCGTCAAATCTCATTAAAGAATGACGTGAAATGAAAAAAAAATCAATCTTATAAAATAGGTCGACATCGCAAGTTTGTACCACTAATCACTATGATATAAACAATATGATAATAAACATGATTGATGAAACGGAATGATATATCGACGCAGTCCTAAAACCAATAAATAGCCTTTAAAATCGATATAAAACATACATTCTTCCAAATGGATTCCCCACAAACACCTGCTACCAAATTCATGTACAACCAATATTTCCTCCACTTTGTCACGAATTTAATATCTAGCAGGTTCTCGTTCATCTGTGTTTTGTTCGGTGTTTTATGATTAAAATAAAAATAATGTTGAGTACTTTTGTAACAATGAGTGTGACGTAACATGAGCTATTGTAAGTAAATGTAGTTAGGTGTAGGGGATTCACGTGATTAGATTTACATTGTGGCGAAGAATCATTTTTTTTGCATCTTTGTCTTGTCATAGCTCTACCATGAGAGGTTTTACATGCTGACGATCCACCACGCTGCTTTAGTGCAAATTGGGAGACCAACAAAGACCAACGTACTGGTTCTACCGAGGTCGGGGAGATAGTCACACCTACTACTACCTCCGCGACCTGTAGCCGGATAGGAATACTAACGATTAGAAATAAAAAAAAAACTAGATAAGTACCGCCTGTAATTTAATTAATTTTCGGCGGTTTAAAACGTGAAATGTATAATGCTTTGCGGAAGTCGTTTTTCACATGGTTGGTCCCCCCGTGGCTACGACCGCATACGAAACATCAGGCCCTAGCTTAAATAAACTAATATATTTCACGTTTTAAACCGTTAAAAGCGTTTTAATTAAGTAAATGCTATTTATGAAATATACGATACTTGTAAGGCCTTTACTCGGCTTATTCAGTGATAAAAGCTATTATGATCGTTAAGCCTATAAAAGGTTTCGTATTCCCCGAGCGTAAACAATATTAAAACTACGATATTCACCTGTACCAGCTGGAAGCGACAGGCATTTAATTGAAGCACGTATTGATATATGACTCCGCTACTCCTAACATACTTATATTAAACTCTTTATTATACGTCAATCTTAAGGTTGAGTTATAAAGAGCGTTTGATACTTTATTAAAACGCCATCATATAAAAATTTTTAATGAGCTATGATGAAACGACAAACCAGTGTAGTAACATTGTTTTTAAGTGTAATATAAACTTTTAAATAAAATACTCAACGGCTTAAAACGCGATATTTATTAGTTAAACTATTTTGAAAATGATGTCTCCCCGCGACCACGGCTGCTGAAAAGCATCCGAAACGTCGGGCCGTAGCCTAAAATAATCAATTAAGTTTAACTAATATTTATTGTGTTTTAAACCAATAAAGTGTTTTATTTAAATGTGGACTATTCGCGTAAACTACTATGTAATATGAACGACTTTTTTTAAACCTTTATTTACTAGATTATGTCACAGGAAAATCTTAAAACTATCATTATATTAAAACTACATATTGAAGTACAAGTTTAGTAGAATCCTAGCCTTTCTCGAATATGGAAAGGCTAAGATACTATAAACTACTTGAAACTACTAAATGACACGTAGAATATTTATCTGAAAAATCAGCAAACATGTTCAAACTTAACTTCGGTCAAAGTTACTTAAGTTTAGTCTTACTTATCACCAATGATAGTTAAATTATGATTCAAAGTAAACAATACGTATTGTTAACTACTACGTCATTAATTTTAAGTCAATAAAAATGATTATTCTCATTTATTTTAGCTTACTAGGCCACTAGCACGTATCGCTACGTGACGGGTCATATATTGCCTAAACGTTGCGAAGATAAATCTTATTTTAGGTTTACTGCTCTTAGCAAATAATTTACTAACTTTTAGGTTCGTTCGTTGAATAACACATTAATATACACTGAAATTTAAATAAAACACTAATGGTTTAAAACGCGATTTAAAACTAATATATATCGCGTTTTAAACCTTTAAAGTGTTTTATTTAAATGTGGTAAGAAAGTTAAATTATTAGAACATTCTTCCACTAAAATCAAGACGCTTAGTACTAGACATCATGCATTTGCATAAAGTGGTTAAAAACGCATCGTTTTTGGTTAAAATAAATTTTAAAATACCTCAAAGACCTCAACTGTTTGCCACCTCTTGTCTTCCCTCATACAGAACACGATTTAGAATCTAATCCGTGATACACAGACTGTGCAAGAACTGTAATCATCTGTCATCGAATATTGATATGGACATAAAGTTTGACACATCGCTTGTTTTTTAAATGTAAGATTAAATCTTACCTATAAGCTGTTTGCTAGTGACCTGATTCAATTATTGCAATTTTAGTCTATATATATGTACGTTTATTTATGTTTTTTTGTTTTTGTTTTTAATTTAAGATATTATCATGTTTCTTAGTTTATTCTGTAATAGTTTACTTAAGTTGAAATTAGAATTCACGTTTTTTGTTTATGTCTATTTATTTATTTATTTATTAAATTCGTACAACATTACATTAAGTTCATATATAACTAAAACTTATGCATAATTAACTATTTCAGACTTAAGTAACTATGACAGTACAAATATATATTATACAAATATGAACTATGATGATATTATGAACTATGTCTATTTATATGTGTGTCTGTAAGAATAATAAATAAATATATGGATTTTCATTATTATTATTATAAAATCCAATATAAAAGTGTATTAACAATGTGGCAAAATTTCGAACTAAGGGTCTCCACACCGTAAGGAAACATGTACAATCTACACACGAAAACAAGAGGAATTTTATTTCAAATTACATCGGACGTATTTGGAGCAACGATAATGAACTTAACCGCTATACTTAACACGCAATGTAGTACAAAGCCGAGCAATTAGTCGATTTGAATATTAATAACTCATTACTGTAAATTAGTGCATGCGATGAATAGCGCATTTGTTTTTTGACGATACGATTTTTTTTTACATTTGTTAAAATACAAATACTGAAACTCTAATGATACGATTAAGGACGAATGATTCAGAACACGTAAAGTTGCCGTTCTTGAGAGTTCATCGTTTTGTTGTTAGGAAGTTATTTTGATAAAATAAATTAATATGCAATAATTATGAACAAGACACCCTTATGAACGTACCGACCAAATGTTTATATTTATAATCTTATAATAACGGTTTAACAATACAAAGTGTGTATCGTCGGAATAATTAATAAAATAAAATTTTAACTAAATACTGTCTATAGTTTACGCGAGTAGTACACATTTAAATAAAACACTTTAACGGTTTAAAACGTCGGGCCGAAGTTAAAAATCATTTTCAAATAAGTTTAACTAATATATCGCGTTTTAAACCGTTAAAGTGTTTTATTTAAATTTTAACTATTATTTTCTGACATTTCATATTTATTAATTTGGGGAAAAGCACAAAACTAGATTTGCTTATAACTTACTCTATATACGTATTCAGTTAAAAAGGAGGATTTTAACTGGTTTTATTAAGTCAACTCTACGGTGTTCAGTTTTAAATATTACAAAACATTTATGAGAATGTAAATCTTATTTGTTCTTATATGTAGTGTAATCTATATAAAATAGAAATATAATTCCCATATAACAGCTTTACAAAATGATGCTCTATCCTGAAACTCTAGTTCACAACAATAAAACGATCACTGCAGTATGAGGGAAAAGTTTAACGTAATATTGAATAAAAATTTTAAGCGTCTTGTATCAACGCTGTATCGCGACATGAATATTCAATATCGAGGAAACTGGAATTTTATGCTCATCCCAACTTGGCCCACTTCACTTAAGCTGTTATTCTTCATTCTTACTTCATGTACCACTGTTATATTATAAAATGCTGTTTAACTAAAGCGTTCATCTTGAGGTTTATTTTATTATCCATATTAAATTCAAAAATTATAGCAAAAATTATTCTGTTTTCTTATGTATCAGATGGGACGAACAAATGTCTGTTCTATTTTCAAAATTTTATAATTCAGTTGTAGTAAAATGGACTTCTGTGCGGTGAAATTATTTAGATTCTAGGGTAGTACATAACACGCGAAATTCGTATCAAAGTCTACCTTTCACCAGCATTACAGTAAGAAAGATCGTTAGCATTTATAATAGATTTCTATAAACCTAATGTGGAAATAAGTGTGGTGTAAATAGAGGACAAAGGAATAAAATAAAAACTACGCAGTACAACTATATTTTTTATAAGCAGTGATGAGCGTGGAGGTCACTTGATGGAAGGTAAATAACACCAACTACCATAAAACATCAAGTTGCCCTATCGACCTAATTTGGCTTTGGATATTCGAAAATCCACAGAACCAAACCGAAACGCGATTAAATTTAACGGCTTTTTCTTCTGTGAACGGTGGTTCGTGGCTCGGACGGAATTTCGATATTCCTACCTTCCCTTTTAGTTTAAGACAGAGTAGGTTTCAGACAAAGTTCAACATAATTTAAAAAATTATGAATTGGTTTAAAACATTTAAGATCCGGAGACTGAACATACGCCTCTTTGATTACACTGCTTACTTAGCTGCCAGAAGACCAACGAGTCAAAACTCTATATACATTTAAAAGTTACATGAGTATCTTTTTTAATAAAACAACATATTTACTCATAATAAGCCCAGCCAATTCAAAACACACAATGCCATTTAGCGTAGTAACACAAGCCACAATTCAACAAGCTTCAAGTTCATTTCATCTTACACGAGAAAGTCGTATTCGTAATGGAGTGGAACGAATATTTCTTACGAGAATTTTTTCGAGTGTAATGCGATCTTATATTGATTTCCAATGGTTTCGCGTTATTTCTCTTTTACGTAGCGCTGGATAGACATCGTTTTATTGTTTGATAAATTTCAAATATTTTGCCTAATGTTCGAGAGTACATTATTGTATTGTACAGAACTTCAATGTTAAAAACAGGTAGAAAGATGATTCGGTAACGATTTCTATCAATTATAATTTTGCAAGAGACAAAATCTCTTGCATCTTCCTCTCCCTATTTATATAACAACCAGCTGCACCAGAGACTTCGTCCGCGTAGAATAGTTATTTTGGGCACCAAAATTTTTGCAAATCTACATCACATCTTTATAAATTATAGCTGATAGCCACAACGTCGTCCACGTCACGTTGTTCTTGCAAGTTAAAAAAGAAGATTTACTGTCGCAGACATTATTTAACTTATTTAAAGAGTAATTAAAGGGTTTTAGGTAACTTGTACAGTTTGCGCAGCGCACCAAATGAAAACCTCTATAGATAATTAATATTCCCTGTTTTTCCACATTTCCCATTGTATCTACGCCAAAGCCTTCTTCGATAAATGCTAACCAATACAAAAAATAATAATTCAATTCGAACCAGTAGTTTTTGAGATAAGCGCGTTCCAACAAACTCTTCATAGTATAAATTAAATATTTAATGAAACAAACAATAAGTTCTCTTCGGTCTCTTTTCGGTCCTCCCCTATTTTATCAAAAAATAATCCAGAACATCAATGGTGATTGTTCGCGTATTAATCTACAGAGTCACATTGTAAAAAGTAGCTTATGTATACGTTTAAATCACGATTTTTAAAAGTAAACGAAATATATTAATTGTTTTTTGTTTTTATTTACGCGTATTTATTTTTTTCTTTTTATTAAGTGGACCATATAGCTCATGATACTTGTAAAGTAGCGACACAATAATAAATGCAAAGCCTTTTCCCAGTCTAATAAATTAAGTATTTCCATGTATACATTGTATTCGTGATATATTTGTATGTATGTAACTATCTTTACACTATGAGTCAAGTGTAAGGTCAACTCTTATCATCTAGAACGTGATCACTGCTCGACTTCGTATTGATAACGCTTAAATATTGAATTTAGTCTTTGTTTAAACTAAAATAACCTAAAGTATCAATAAAAACACTTTAACGGTTTAAACCGCGATATATATTAGTTGAACTTATTTAAAAATCCCGTGGTCACGTGAGAGTCTAAATGACTACGGCTGCTGCAAAGCATCCGAAACGTCGGGCCGTAGTTAAAACAATTCAAATAGGTTAAACTAATATATACTGTGTTTTAAATCAGTATTTAATAACCTAAAGTTATTATAAGAGTTGAATTCAATAAAATACTTAAAAGTAAGAAGAGTTATTCTTAATACATAAGAGTAAAATTTTCTTTTAGCAATCATCGTCGTGGATTCGACCCCATCGGGTCCATCGTGTTTCAAATAAATTTATAATTTTTCTGAAGAATGTTGGACTTTGTCTGGAAGTGTGGGTATTAAATTGGTGAAACGAACCGCCGTCCACAGATGACAGGCCGTGACGTTACGTTACGTAATGGCGTTTCGGTTTCAGTCTGAATTTCTAAATATCCAAAGCGAATATAAGCGCTTCTTGTTGATTTATATCCATGTAACAAAACTTACGATATAACCCCCTAATAGATCCTTGTTTACAAGCATGACGTTCAGTGAAAAAGTGGAAATAGATACTTTCTGAGCAGAGTTCAGTTAGCCTACTAACCCCTATAAGATGATCAGTTAAAGACTGTAAAATTAATGTTTTTTAATGTGGCAATTGTTTTTCTATGGTTATAATAAAGTCTTTCCGCGCTTAAGTAAATAAACTTTGCATTATGGCCACCATTATTACAAGTCAAAAAATAAAACATATCTACACTAATATATAAAGCTGAAGAGCTTGTTTGGTGGTACGAATTGTTTTTTTTTTGTGTTGGTTAGAACATTTATTAAGGCAGGTTCGTGACTAATAGAAGCGAAGATACAGCGGGAAATGTGAACAAAACGGGGGAAATTTTTCATCTCTATGTTTCAGAGGCGTACGCAGCGAAAACAGTTCAAGATACCCAAAACATATGTATAAAATAATGATTCCTCTTTAAGTGAACTTTAAAAAAGTCCTGGACGTTAAATGTCTATATTTTAAGGTTACCTTGTAAGAACGATGGCAAGGGACGCGACCGATGTCGTGGGTGGGGTGGCTTAAATTTATAAAGATGAAGAGGTTTGCAAAAAAAGAGGAAGATTTACATGTCCAAAATAACGATTCTCGCGGACGAAGTCGCTGTCAGAGCTAGTATGTGATAAGATTGATGTAATTCTTAAGTAGGTAATATACATACAAATGTAATTATAGCAATTCACTTATCTCATGACGTTAGTTACAAAATTGGTCTAGAAAAAGGTGATAACTTATTGTTAGGACGTGACTATAAGGAATTTTGTTAGTCGTTATATCTATTAGTACACTATTTAAGAAGCTGCAAAAATATTTTATTTTAGTATAAGTCTATTTTGCTGCGAAATAATCCAAAATGTTACAATTCTGTGTATTGTTAATTTTGGCTCTGCAAAAAGTAAGGATATCTCTATTTTGTTATATTTTTTCAATTGAACTATACAGCAATTAATACTTTATTTTCTTCATATTTCTAGGTTTTCACCTATTGGTACCATGAGCTTTTTTATAATTATTACCCAAATTATTATTACAGGTCCAATGCCGCCCCACGGATGCAGAAGCGAAGAGTTCAGTCTCAAACCAGTTACACTTGATTGTCGCAAACACTTCATCGTCAAATAATTACCATTTGACGCCGCTTTTCACAGAAATAGAAGATTTTGAAGACGAAATAACTAAGGACTTGAGCGCTATAGTACCATTTTTACATTTCCTGGTAAGTTGTAATATTTTAATAGCATGTTTTAAACAGTTATTTTTTAAATTAAGTGTACCGTTTTCGAAAAACACAAACATTAAATAAATAATTAAATAATATTTGAAATTTTGTAAAACAATAACTTTCATATAAATCCCGTTAAAGTAAATTTCAACTTCGCTTCTGCTGTTTGTTCTTATATTGCTGATTTAGTACTTCGAAATGAACTTAAATTAATAGGATTTACGATCTTTGCATTGTATTGTTTTTCATTTCTTTTCGTTAAATAAAAGATGAGGTATAATTTAATAACGAAAATCTTGAGACCTTTATACAGTAGGGTGAAAAGTGGGTGTTAGGTATTTTTGACGTCTATTGATTGTTTACAATGAAAAGTCTTAATTTAATATTAACATTTAATTAGATTTATGCAAATGTTATGATAGACATAGTATCTGTCTCTTGAAAATAAATTAGTGAGGCAGACACAGAAATATGCCTACTCCATGCCAACCTTTAATTAATGTTTATTTCGCTTATGACACCTACTTTATAAAGATATTCATGTTTCATTGTATTAAGTATGAAGAACAAGCAATAGAATAGGATCTCGAAGTATAATATTTGTTCCAGTGAGCCATATCAGAAGTTCTTATTTGTTCTTGGTCTGAAATTGCCAAGTGACTCGTAAACCCTTACTTAACATAAACACAACGATGTTGGCTTATACAAGCTAGCAGCCGTTCCTTGGTTTGTCTGCTTTGTTTGTCTTTGTTCACAATTCTGTTTACTGCTTGTTAAAATACGAAATACAATGGACAAATAGACTACATTTTTCTAAATTGAATAAATTATGATAAGGAAGGATGTCTTATTAAATTAAAGTATTACTTATTACTATTTAACTTTGACTAGTAATTATCTTAAACGTTTGTTATTAGTATAAGAATAATTACCGGATCTTCTCCAAATCAGGTCAAGATAATAATACAATACAATCAAACATTTAGAGTTTAGTATTGACCGTATGAACAAATTGAATACATATTTGAGTTAGTGAGAGACACCCCGGTTCTTTTTGTGGGGCAAGAGGTGAACACATTTCTGTGTCCGTTTCATTGATAAGGTTTATTCACAGTCAAGTAGATGACTTAGACTTCTGCGCCTTGCCTTACTGAAATTATATATTATTTCCCCGGGATTCGAGCCCAGATCATTTCGCGTTAAACATATTTGAGCTAAACATGGGTTAAATGCCGGATGATGACCTATTGTAGCTTATATCGTTTTCAATAAGGTTATTAGTATCCCAATAATTGTTTAATTTAAAGATATATTTCTTTGAGGTAATATCGACATTATTATGACAAGTCTCTCATTTCATAATATCTCACTTTATACAGCTCGACACTTCAAGTGATAGCGAAGAGGATGAGGACGAAGACATTGACAACGATCAAATGGTGATTCAGCTTGTTCCTGATTTTATTCAATCAAAGAAATCAGAAAATCCGATAGAACATGAATCCGGTTCCGAAGAAGTTAAAAAGGATTCTAGTGAGGAAGACTGCGACAAGAAAAGCGAGAAAAAGGAAAAAGAAAGTGACGAAGGCTCTGATGAAGATGCGGACGATGTGAAATCAGAGATTGAACCGAAAGAAAGTTCAGAGGAGGAAAATTCTAATGATGAAAATAAATCAAAAGAACCGAAAGAAAATCTTACTAAACCTGAAAAAAAGGAGGATATTCCAAAAACTCAATAATAATAAATAAACTCAATAATAAATCTTTTAGAAGATTGACCTATTTGTAATAATCTTCCTAGTGTATCTACAATAGTTTTATGATTTAAAAACATTAAATTGGTTATAAGAATTAACAAAATATAATACAAATAGTTTACGAAATAATTGTAAATCTTTAGTGTCAACGAATATTAATACAATAAAAAATAAAACTCCCTGCTGCTTTTTACTTTCATAGTGTATTTTTTATATATTCTGGCTTGCATGGGTCAGGTGGGTACAAAAAGTACAACATAATAAAAAAGGCTAATATAATAGAAAAAGTAAAGCCAAATACAGTCAATTAAATAGTAGAATATTTATTGTGCGGGGGGTGCACGCATAATAAATCAATATTGTTAATTATCTCAATTGATTAGAGCAACAGCATACAACGTTTTGGATGCCGGTTCAAGCCCTGCTCGTGTCTAAATTTTTTTTCAATCCAAGATCGTTATTTAATATAAAATGAAGCAGATTTTAAATATGTAAAAATAATAAATATAACTTAAAAACATCGCGAATTTAAACGGGAAATTCGCACCTTGCGGTGAATCGTGCGGCTGCAACGGCTTAATACGCGTTTATTTATTAATGCATTACACATTTACCTAGTTATGAATAATATTCATGTAATGAACTACATAAGCCCACGAAAACATGTAAATATTTGCATTTTAACATTAGGCACTAAAATGGATACTCGGATTTCGTTGCTTTTCGGTGTTTTACTTATTGCAAACGTAAGTACTTTTGACGCATTTTTGTAAGGACTGTAGAGAAACTGATGGACTTCCATATGTTTGTACTTGTCACTTGGCTAATATATTTGAAATTTAAGTGTTATTTTGGTATATCGCTTGACAACCCTTTTTAGTAAATGTATCTTATTAATTTATGGTTTTACAAAATGGATTCTGCCAATGTAAATTTTCGCCGGACAGTCGACAAGACGAAATAGTAAGAGAGAGAGTGTTGTAAAAAGGTTGTTCTTAACCCTTGTGACATTTAGAAAAGTGAAGCATCGTATTAAAGAGAATATGAGCACAATGAAGTGTTACTAATAATGTTAGATCTCTACCTCTTTTCGGCTTTTAAGTGAGTGTATCTATGTTAAAAGTTACGACACGGGCAGGAGTTGAAGCGGCGTTCTTAAAACAAAAATGTGCTTGTCATTTCGTGCTATCGTTCTTACGTGTTTTAAGTAACATTGTCAGTCAAAGATATCAAATGAAATAAATAAAATGTTTCAGGCAAACGCATTTGTTAAACGAGATGTAGTTACCGAGGTAGAGGAAAGTCCGGTGGCGGCGGAATCCCCTGGTATAATAGATAGGGTGAAATATTGTTATGGTGAAACCTTATCTAATACAGTTAATATCGTCAAACGAGAACATTTACAGCCTTTGCTCGGCTTCTTCGAATACTCTTGGAACAAAATAAGGCGATTTGATGTAAGTATTAAGAAAAGTATGAGGCCTTCATTGGAAGTAAACAAAGTTCTTTCTTTATAAGAATATATTTCAAGGCAATCATATTCTCTCAATGATTCAGCTACAATATTATTTATTTATTGTATATTTAATTTAATTACATTAAACAAAATATTACAAATTTATTGCCTTTATTTTATCCTGTTCACAGTTTTTTAGGCTTATTTATTTTTATTTTTTAATAATTCTTACGCTGTATATTGTTGCTACGCTTTGGGTTATTAACTCGTATTTTTTTTCTCAAGCTTTTATTAATAAAAAAAGAGGATTTTAGTATTTTTTTCTAATTACTTATTAAGTTTTTAAAGATATTTTTGTAAGAATAATTGAAATACAGGCGACATAATAAATGATAAGTGAAGTGTTCCAAAACAGTTACAGGATTCGCCGGCAAAATACGAGCGTTATGAAAAGCCGAGAGAGCCAATCACTTGGGAAATCTTTCAGCACGATATAAAGGAATTCAGGAATTGTGTCCGACAGACGTTGACAGAGATCGTCGATGATGTGACGGAGACGAAGCTGCAACCGTTGTTCCGTCATGTTGAGGAGAACTTGGGAAAACTCACTCGAGTTGTAAGTTAAAATACAACTCTCTGATGGCTAAATATAATAGTTACTAATACATTACATAGATAGAACATTAAATCACACACACATTCATTAAATAAAACATTAACGAACGGTTTTAAACGTGAATTTTTAAGATTTTATTTTTAAATACACTCCGATGTTTTGTCCACTCTGTCCTGCCATGATTGGCCGAAAGCCTCTGACATGTTAGGTCGCATATAAACATAATTTAATTTGTGTTTTAAACCATTTAACGTTTATTATGGCCATATATTAATTAATACTACCTTTTAAACCGTTTAAAGGGTTTTATTTAAATGAGCAATACTCGCGTAAACTATAAATAATACTGTTTTTGTTATTGAATTACTATACTATATTACTAATTTGAATATTGCTTTTAGGTTGACGTATTGACTGCTACCAGGGAAAGGAAACGTGAAGAAAAAGAGTGAAGCTAAAAATTAGATAAACGCTAAGTAGTAGTATATAGATCTCAAATAAGGAGATTTGTAAATCTTTAAAGTTTATGTTAAATATATATTAATATTTTAATAAATATTTTTGTTTTTAAATTGAGACTTTAATCTTAAATAATACGTTATATTGTATTGTATTATGTATTTTTGTTTTTTATATTGCAATATTGAGTAAATTCATCTCCAATTTAAATGTCAAAAAATTTGTTCAATACTAATTGGACAAATTTTAATACTGTCTATAGTTATTTTAATAAACAAACAACGAGAAAACAAAATTATAAATCAACACAATCGTAAACGAACACCTAGACGAATTGACATAACCATATTGAATTGACCAGATTCGCCGAATACCAACCACGACGGAACAGATGGCGCTGGCGTAGCAGTTTTTATTTTGGACTAAATAAATAATACTAGAGACATCTTACATATTTAATATCTCCGTAACTACGGTGCTGCAAAGCCTCCGAAATACGGGATGTAGTTGAAATAATTTGCAAGTTCAACTAATGCATTTCGCGTTTTAAACCGTTAAAAGTGTTTCATTTAAATAATATCATTGACCGACTGTGAATGTCGTCATCTTTTAATTTTTATCGAACTTCATTAACATTTTATAATTGTTAACTCGGCTGAAGCCCATGTTATTTCAGAGTTAAAATTTCAACTCGGAAACATATTCGAAAGAGAATACATATGAAAATCAAGAACTATCTCCGAGTAATATTTTCCGTTAGCGAAGCGGGATAATAACGTAGCTATAATTTAAACTACGATTCGTGCAACATTGTGTGATAATATATTTTCTAGCAGATTTCTGTAAAATTCTGCGGTGAAAAACTAGATGTTTTATTCAAAACATTTCTTAAATGGAATCCTATGACCTATGTGCCATATTCATCTCTGGTGCTAAATGATTAAACGGAAAGCTTGACACAAGTTTAACTATTTAGCTAATCAAACCAAAGCAATGGACTATAATTCCGAGTAAACAATAGATTGTATTAGTCAGGCAGAGCACAGAAGTCTGATCAATTACTTGCTTATATATAAAACCGATCAGTAAAACACACAGAAGTGTTCGCCCCATGCTCCACGTAAACTGGATTTCACTTTGGACCATGCTCTATCCTGTCCTGACTTCTCAACACTAGCCGATGGGACAACCGACTAAAATAATGATATACAACACAGTAACAATCAATGAGCTAAATAAAAGCATTAATTCTTTTGAAGCGAGCTATGTAGTCGCTTCGCATTTCGCGCCGCAGTTCGCATCGCCAATCTGTATGATCAGGCCGTTAGAGTGATACTTATTCATTGTACATTATTTTCTAAATAAAAAACTTTAACGGCTTAAAACGCGATATATTGTAGTTAAACGCGTGTAAAAATAATTATCAAACAATTATTAGACCGTTAAAGTGTTTTATTTAAATGTGTACTACTCCCGTAAACTACAGACTTTAACAGTATTTAACTTATTTTTCGTTTAATATGGTGTCGTATTCGGTAGTTACCCACGGTAGACCAATTTTACGTTTTACGAACATTTATTTCTATAATATGTTGAACAATTTTGATAATGTGGAGTTATACTAACTAGCTTTGGAGATGCATCATTATAATTCATGTACGCTTTGTAAGATATACCATGTGGCATATAATGTTTGAAAACTTTAATATTTTTCACATGTTTGACATGTATCATATATTGCACATGATTACGCTATATAATTTATATCATTGCCTTTCGGGCTGTTCGGCCGACGTGAGCGATAAGATGTTCTCGACGTTTCGCCATCACGTGTGGACGGCATCATCAGGAGATGTTAACTCCTCGATTGCTAGAAGAATTAATTCTTATATATGGTGAACGATAGCCGTGAAAGCCTTACACAATTTACTATATAATTTATTTTCGATGTTTAAAGCAAATAATGTATTAAAGTATGTGATCATAGATTTATACCAGATTTAGCATAAAAATCTTCAACCCAACTTTTGTAACAAAACAAAAATATATGTATTTTGTGTATGAATTACAGCCTCAAAAATAAAGAAACTGACAATAACACAAAATGTTCTACGAGAAAACATTATCCTATTTAAGCCGTTAAAAGACTTTTTGACATCTAAGCCTACAGAGTATATTTGTACTGCATTATTATTTACTTACATCAAAAACGCACTAGCTCCTCCGTCTCTTTCTTGCATACAGGATTGTCTCAAAACTTAAAACATTTAACGAAATCGCTCTCAGCACTCACTATTTATGCACAAAGGTTGCATATGCCGTGAACTACTATCTTTTTCGCTGTCCCACATATGTCATTTGAACTATAAACGAATGAGACAAAAAAATATCCTATACGAGTTTGTAAATGATGTGATAATATGACATATCTTGAAAACTTTCGATAAATAACATTATGTACGAAACTGAAGATTTTCTCATTCGACATAGTAAAATAAACGAAGGAATTCAACAGAAGAAGCTTATCTGTGACTATCTTGGACGCCCTTGTAAACAACTGAATAGACCTTAGTTGTAACAAAGTCGAAATGAAAGCCCTCGGAAACAAATACTTCTGTTGTTCGATTCCTTCACAAACATTCCGATAGAAGTTTAATTAAAAGGAAAAAGTACGTGAACGAGCGTACTTTGTGATGAACGATCGTTTGCGTATTTTCACACGTAAGGAACCGTTCGTCTACCCCACGAAGTATAATAGGTTTGCCAAAAACAATAATATGGATTATTATTTATCGGAAATTTTGTTTTGCTCAGTAAGACTATATGAGGTGGCACGTTATTTTTTGTATACAAAAGTGAATTAAAAGTATCTAAAACAGTTAGATACAGTTACTTACGTAAGGCCTAATCTTAAGTTTAGTACTTATGTTACTTTAAATGTATAACAGCTTGTTCTATTTATTTCAGCTTTAAAAATATATATCATACTTTTTAAGCCCGTTGTTAATTGTAAAATTATAGGAGCAACCGCTTCTGTAACAAAATGGTTAAAAGCGTTTCCTAGTATTATGTAAAGTAGGAGACGTCCTGGGTTCGTATCCCGGGGATACAATAAATTGTTTCGGTTGGGAAGGGCATAGAAGTATGATCAACTACTGGTCTACTAAACCCGATCAGTGAAATGTACCTCATGCCCCACGAGGGAAAACGGGGTTTAACTATTAGGCCTTCTTTATTCTAGTAAATCTTATTGCGGTTATTTGTTTTATCTATAGATATTGTGTTTTTATTTTATTTGTGTTAATTCATCAAGTTTTCGTTAGTATTATGCTTTGTTTTTCTGAGGAAAGTAAAAAATTGCTTTACTCAGAAAAACAATTACTACTGTCCTTATGAATGTTTAAAATCAGACGTCACACTCACTATTAGACCTACTGAGCTACTCATTCAAACTCCATAAATATTCGTATGTACGAAGAAGAAAAACGTAAATTACAATAGAAATACTGAAGGATTTCCTTTGTTATTTGATGACGAAAACGATTATCGTTAACTAGGCTTTTATTTAGATAAAATCACTGGAGCAATTCTCACAGAGCACAAAAGATCTACTATTTCATGGTGTCAGTCGACAATCACTGTTTTTAACTATTCAATCACTGCTCCACACAAAGCCACACAATTGTTCGACAGTACAGCGTTTTACATTTTTGTCAATGTCAGCAATAGAACATTTTTACCGGTTTTAACTATATTGATATGTATTTTAAGATACACAAAGTATATATTTTTTTACGCGCCAATTTTTTTTCACTAAATAGCTTTCTACGTGCTAGCCAGTTCGAAATTCAAATGAAACCTTTGTTAAGTTACCTCTTTGGTCGCCATATTGCAGAGAGAGAAGATCGTACGATCTTCTCTCCCTTTTTTAGTTAGTTAGCGCAGCAGCACAAAATGCTGTGGATGCCGCTTTAAGACCCGTGTCATAGTTATTTTTTCAATTAAAATTGATATTTAATTTGAATAATTCCATTAAAACATGTGAAAAATTATTAAAGTTTTCAAGCAGTGCAAGTCATATAAATCATGCTAGTAAACTAAACTGCTCAACGTGTTTATGTCTACTTTTATTACTCACTAGCTGTTACAGCGACTTTGTCCGCTACGAAGATTTTTTTTGGGTATTTTCGTTTTTGCCATTATTATTTTTTTATTTTATATAAATCTAAGCTGTTACCCACGAAGTCGGTCGCCTTCTTTCCCGTCGTTCTTGCAAGTTAATCTTAAAAGATAGACATATAGTGTGGCGGACTTTTTTAGAGCATTCAAAGAGGAATCATTCTCTCACGCATATTTTTTGGATATCTTGAACTGGTTTTGCAGCGTACGCCTCGGAAACCAATAAAGAAACAATTTTCGATTTTTTTCACATTTCGCGCTGTATCTTCGCTTGCATTAGCCACAGGGCGATGTTTTATAGCCTTTCTCGATAGATACTTTAATCAACACAAAAAAAATGTTCAATTCGACCGAAAGTTTCTGAGTTTAGCGCGTTCTAACAAACTATTCAGTTTTATATATTAGTATAGATACTATATATTTAGTACAAACTACTTCTTTAAATTAGCAGAAATAATTATAACGTCCTGTATTTGTCTTAAAATACCTCTCCATCCGGTATTTAATTGACAATTAATGGAAACAACTGCTATCTTTAAAGTTTATTGTACTTACTATTAATATTTTGATAAAGCAGAGGTCAATAATCTTATATATTTTTAGTAATTCACTGTTTCATTAATAATTATTGTGACTTTTCAACATAGTAATTGTACTTCACAAATATAATTGTTTGACTGGTAATAAAATGTGATAAAACAAAACGTAATCTTGACGTTTTTTACTCATATCATCATCAGTTTAAATGTTACCTCTGCTGGGCCATGGGGCTTATAAAAATGTATATAAGCCATAATTGATGACCACATATTTTTGTAGATGCATTTCGATTCTTAGACTTAGGCTTGGCAAAACACGTATCTGAGAGTACAAATATAAATATAAACACCACTGAAAATCGAACACCCGATCATGCGTCTATCAGGTACTAGACCAACAAGGCCCTCATTATACCTTTATTGTATAAAAAAGTCGCTTTTTCTATCCCTATCTATAACGATTAAATCATTAAAACTACGCAATGTTTTTTTTAATAGATAAAGTAATTCAAGAGGAAGGTTTTTATATACAATGTTCATAGTTTTTCTGTAGTGTATTTACTATCAGCATTGCTCCATTGCGAAGCCGGGGCGGGTCGCTAGTATTAAATAAAATAAATATGAACTTTGTCCTCACATGAACTTGACCGCCTATGTAGCGAAATGTTTAAACGTATTGCCTAAAATTGCGTTAAGCGCGAGAAATCCTGGGTTCGAATCCTACGGCAACATAAAATTGTTTCGGTCGGGCAGGGCACAGAAGTCTGATCAACGACTTGCCCGTTAAAAGAACGGATCAGTGGAACGGACACAGAAATGTGTTCGCCCCATGCCCCACGAGGAGGAAACGAGCTTTTCTTTTGTCCTCACATGTTAAAGTTATAAACGGTTAATAAGTAGACGTTTATATAATTTTCAGTGTACATGAATTAAAACGTGAATTATAAATGTCAACTTTAATGAAAGCACCATACAATGGGCGTAACAAATCGATTGACTGAATAACAAGAAAAACCTAAAACAGCGGGTTCAAGGCAGTTCCGCGTGGAAATTCGTCAGCTTCATAAACTGCGAATTAAAGTAAATGACAATTATCCTAAACACACAGTTAAATTTGTTCGCATAACGACTACACAAACTAGTTAATTCCGGGAGCGTAAGATTAGTAATGACCACATTCTATGTAATTGTTTTCTTAGAATTGACCTCTTGATAAGCCGCATAAACACAGTGGCCAGATAAAGGAAGTCACTAACGCAGTGTGGTTAGTGAGTGATCTTCGGCTGACAAGTTAACTCGTGCCAAAAATGAACAAGACAATTATTATCTTTTTGGCTGTATGCCTTATCACCGTGAGTAACTTATTTTAGCTTTGTATTCGATTATTTTACTTTTCATGTATTTATACTAGGATCTTCAGTATTTAATATTATAAAGCTAAAAAGTTTCTTTGAACGTTTAAATAAAACTCTTTAACGGTTTAAAACGCGATATATTTTAGTTAAACTTTATTGAGAACTATTTTTAACTACCGCCCGACGTTCTCCCTAAATGTTTAACTAAAATAAATAAATAAAATATATCGCGTATTAAACCGTTAAAGTGTTTTATTTAAATGTGTACTATTCGCGCAAGCTACAGACAGTATTTCTTTGGACGTGCTAATCACGATAACTAATGATTCGAATTGAAAAATATGTTTGTGTTCTTTGGACATTTGTCGACAAAGATTGTCTTTGAAACAGCAGGTTGCGACCAATAAGAGCAATAAAACAATGGGATATGTGGCAACTGGGAAAAAATATTCATCTTTGAGAGTGTCTGTATCATGCTGTGAAAACTTTCAAGATACCCAAAAAATATTTATAATAGAATTTTGTCTATATAATAGAATTGTCTGATAATCGTCAACATTATGACTATCTTTTAAGGTTATCTCTCAACAACGGTTTTTATAACTTTTATTTGACAAAACAAAAGAACATCTGTCAGATAATATAAGCAGATAAACAAATAGGTACACTAACTTACGTTACACATACTCTGATAATTATAATTTTTATACACTGTATAAAAATTATAATTATCGTTTTATTATTATTGTAGAGATTGCATTTCTTTAGTTAGCATTAAGGGTCAACAGTTTATAATATATTTATTTCAAATAGAGTGAAATAAACGATGCGAAATGTCATTTCATTCGACTTAAATAATTTAGAACAAAGGATTTTACAATTGTTAATGTTACAGGTTCACGCATTTGTCAAACGCGATGCACCAACACAAACCAATGACAATGGTCTCGATTCGCTCCAAAAGACCTTAGAGGGTTTTGCTAATTCCGTAAAAGAGAACTTCTCGAAAGTTATAAATCCAGACAATATTCAGAAGCAATTCAATGACGCTGTGTCTAACGTGAAGCAAGCTGTAAGTATTCAAAATTTGCTGGTGTATTAAAAAAAAAGACCAGATTGGGAATCGAACCCCCTGCAGGAAACCCTTTTATAAAGCAATCGATTTTAAGTTATTTTGATTATATATTTTGTTTTTTTTTCAGCTTGACAGCATTACACCCAAACCGGCAACATAGTAGATAATTCTTAGGTGATAATGAAAACATTAGAATTAACAATTAGTTGTTTGGACGTCAAGATAATGAATAAAACAAAGTATATAAAATGTTTATGTCTGTTTATTGTGTATGTGTGTTCTATTTTATTCGTAGCGCCCTTGGGTGTGTAAGTCCTGAATTATTATAACTACGAAAGCAGTCTAAATAACTTTAAACAAACTTTTATTATCGGATGTCCTGTAGATTATAGATGTCATAGATTAAAATATGTTCTTTAGTATTGACGTTGCTTAGCTAGGAGCTTCAAGCCTTTGTAGAAAAATGGTTGAAAGTATTATTTAATTTCGTGTTAACCGCGAGATGTCCTGGCTTCGAACCGTGGAGAAAAATCGGTCGGGGCACAGGAGTGTGTTTGCCTCTTACGGGGTAAAACGGAATCTCACACTTTTTTAGCGTCAAATGGCGAGAAGGAAGTCAAGACCAGCTTAATGCTTAACGTAACGAAGTGGTATACACTTCTTAAGAAATATTGTCCTTAAAAATCAATATATTTCCTATTTTACATTTGTAATCCTAATTGATTTTAACGCATAATGTGAAAAATAGATTAATGCACTTTGTGTAGAGGGCAGTGCCTTGTCGTGGCTTTTGAATGAAGGTAACACGAGTTGTCTTGCGTCTAGGTTGGTCTAGGTAAAATATTTGTGTAAAAATTCCGAGAACGCCCGTAGCAGTTTGCAAAAAGACGTGTAAATTTTTCATATGAATATTTTAAGCGCATACACTAGGCTTCTTGGGAACGTGCACCTAGAATATAATATATAGTATAGACTATGTATAGACTAGTATAGTGATTTTTATAGAATACTTGCTGGGAACTTCGTTCGCGTGGAATACTGACTTGGGGTAGAATTTTTAATTATAAAGGCTGTTTATTAATTTATGTAATTGCGCATTTATCGCAGCCAATCTAAGTTGTAAGTGCTACTTTGCCGCAACACTCTCACCTCACGTTACTCCTACTCTAACTCCCACTCTCATTCCTACACTCACTGTCACTCCCACTCCCACTCCTATTCCCAAAAAACCAAAGGAAAAAGTTTCATTGTTCTACTTTCAAAAACCACGAATTTCCATACAAACTTTCACCTCTTTTTCTTCTTTTAACCCTTTACTTTCGCAATAAAAAGTCTATGTCCTTTCTTAGGGTCTAGACCATCTGTATACCAAATTTCACTATAATCCGTTCAGTAGTTTTGACGTGAAAGAGTAACAGACAGACAGACAACCAGAGTTACTTTCGCATTTATAATATTATATATAATATTGCATAGATAATATTGCAGTACGTAAATAATGTAGGTGACATATGACGTACTTTTGAAAGACACACATTTTTTAAATCTAATGAAAAATTATATAGATACTTTTGCCAGTTTTAAACTCGAAATCTATTTGTAAATGTTTTGCATGTAAAATAGATAAAAGTGTTTTATTTAAATCTGTTTATTCGCCTAAACATTAGACAATATTTATTTGTACATTTATTAATAGCTATAGCAGTTGGCATGTTATACCAAGCTATACCAAAGATAAATTAGTTTCTTTAATTAAAAATCTCTTTAAGATATAAAACATACGATTCCTATGTCAGGAAAAAATATACATTCTTAGAGGTTCCGCTGCGACAACGGTACAAGAAACCAATAATTACGTATAAAAGAATGGTTCCTCTTTAATAGATCTATAAAAATGTCCCGGACAATATGTTTAGTATCTTTAACAACTTGCAACAACTTTTTATGGTAATCAAAATGCCATACTATTTATTATTTGTTAGATACAATTATCAACGTACTAAATTAGCACACGGTAAAAACATCGTACGCCGGATCAGCTATTTAGATTATATAAGGTAAATTTAAAAAACAATAATACCACTAGCCAAGCACAAGTCCACAAATAAATTTCAGTTTCTCTTTATCACCTAATAAAATATTCCTGCCGGTCGCCAACTCGTGTGCACCTTTAATATGCAAGAAGGGTGCAGATAAGCTAGACTTACTGCTACGTTGATCCACTTTGAGACACACGTAGCTGAGGTTTCAACAGATTTATTCGGGATCTTAACGTTATTTAGAGAGTGGACATAAGGGTCTGAGACAAATAAATTCTTATTTACACCTTCTGAAAATCATTCGCGTTACAGGCAGCCATATATTATTTTTGTCATATAAATTGTAAAACTATCAATAATAAGCTAAAAATATTTAAAGGGCTCGTGGATCTAATTCTAGCAATGTATTTCTAAAATTAATCCACGGGGCGTGAGTTCGATTTCTACCAAGTCCAAGATGTATCTATTCAATTGTGTAAGGCTTTCACGGCCATCGTTCAGCATATCATTGGTTTTCGGGCTGTTCGACCGACGTCAGCGAGAAGCGGTTCTCGACGTTTCGCCATCAATAGCGGCATCATCAGGGTATGTTGTAAGCTCCTAGAAATATTCTGCCGTCCGTGAATTATTAGATATACATACTAATACTAAAAAGCTAAATAGTTTGTTTGCTTGTTTAAATACGCTAATCACTAATATATATAATAATTTCTTTTGTATTATTATTCGTTTCTTCTTAATTTCTCTGATTTAAAATAAATATCCTTCATAGCAATATGTCTAGAAGAAGAAGGTCGCAGCTATCTAAGAATAGTTCCCAAGCGAGATTAGCAACAGTTCGTCGTATTGGAGAGTTTTCTTCCTAAAATGATCTTCTGGAAAGTATTATAGTGTACACGTCCCAATCGCAAGCCAGAGAATCTATCGTCAAATGTTCAGGTTCGTTTTGCAGAACAAAATGCAAGTTCGTCTCAGCGACTTGAAGGAAATAGCTAGGAATTCACGAACGCATGCACGGGACTCTAACACTAAACGCTCGCAGCGGCTCCTGACACAGCGTGATAGACAAAGGTCGTTAACAGCTAGGACGCGAAATACATTTTTTTTTTAATTTAGTGATTCATGGTCGTTTTAATCCGGATTTTGTAAGCGAAAACGGACAGATATATTCACGTGCTCTCTACACCTGTGGTAACTGCATCGCTTTGTCGTTTGTGATACATTCGTCTTTTGTTGCCTTTTATTGTTTGTTACATTCGTCCTGTAAGCCGCAAAGTTGATAAAGAGTGTACTTCAGGTCAGAAAGTTTCGACAAGTGTTTGAAAATAGATTCATATTTTTAAATATGAAATTTTATCGTAATAGGTTATTTTTTTAATATTTTCTATCCTATCACTAAGACCAGGTATTTGTATTGTTAAGTAGGGACATACAGACCGAAGAAATTTAGCAACGCGTTTTTTTTCCAAAAAAAGTAGTACCTGTTTCCCAATGAGAGGAGGTAGGGTAGTCCTCAAAAATAACATTTCCAATCTACAAAAGAGTGTGACCCATTGACAGCTTATGCAACTAAAATAAATGTAAATAAAACACCTTTAACTGTTTAAAACGCGAAATATATTAGTTACCCTAATTTATAATTTATTATTACTACGACACGACATTTCGCATGCTGGGCAGCCGTCGTAAGGACTTAAAATGGAGAAAGTTTATAAAAAAAAAACACTTTTAACATTAAACGCGAAATTTTATTCAAAAGTGTAACTACAGAGATTATTTAATGAGAGTTAAACTAATTATTCTATGTCTATTTCATTCTTAATAACTATATTAAAAGTTAGCTTACGCTGTTACCTTAAGCTTGTTAAAAGTGTATTATTTAAATGTGTCGGTACTATTAGGGTAAACTGCAAACAATACTTGAACTTGAAGTTTAAAATTTGTTATCTTAAGCGATTATCAATATAAGCCATTTTAAATGCACGACAACGTTTTTGACGACATCTCGCCATTTCGTTTGTGTAATGAATAAAGACGAGTAAAAGTAGGAGCAACAAAGGGGGAACTTTTACAGCGGTCATAGGAGTTAACGAATGCCTCTCCATCCAATGGTCCCGGTAGGTCAAAGTTAATACTGTAATCAACATTCTATTCAATGGTAACTGGAAATGAAAACGTAGAATAAAAGTTGATTATCTTTAGCATATACACGGCGTTTATTAAATTTTAGCGCTTTCTCGGATTTGAGTTTTTGATACATTTTCAAATCTATACTTGTATATAAAGCTGAAGATTCTTTGAACGCGCTAATCTCAGGAACTACTATTTTGAATTGAAATATTGTTTTTTTGTTGAATAAAATATTTATCGAGGAAGGCTATAAAACATTACGCTATGACTAATGGAGGCGAAGAAACAGCGGAAAATTATTCATCTTTGTAGTTTTCCGATGCGTACGCTGTGAAAACGATTCAAGATATACAAAAATTATGTATGAGAGATGATCTACTTAAAATTATCAAAAAAATAGTCCTCGGCAGTATATATCTATCTCGTACAGCTAACCTATTATTACTGTCTGTAGTTTGCGCGAGTAGTACACATTTAAATAAACACTTTAACGGTTTAAAACGTGTATTTTAACTACCGAGCAATGTTCAAAAGCATTTGAAACGTCGGTCCACAGCATTCGAAACGTCGCGTCGGGTCGTAAGTAAAATAATTAATATAAGTTTAACTAATATATATAGCGTTTTAAACCTTTAAAGTGTTTTATTTAACCTATTGTTGCATAAAAAAATAAATCAAAGACTAATAACATAGTACTTAAGATAATATCGCACTATTTTTGCGACATAATACGGAAATCTATGGAGAGAATATTATTCTAAGAAACTGATATGGCATTATTTCTGTACGGTTAAAAATCTATCGGAAAATGTATTTTTCTCAGTACACGATCAATATTTGAAATGCAAAATGTAACAATTCGAATGCATAGCCTTATACGATTTTCATACAAATATTAGCTGCAATTGTTACATTATCATATAGATGGATACATTTATAGAGATTTTCGTACTTTGAAAGCAGTTATTGGACTTTGATATAAAATAGTTTT